GCAATTTATCAAATGCAATATTATTTGTAACATTATCAATTGTAATTCTCAATATCTTTAAAATTAAATAAATTGTTTTAGTCATATATTATATTTATTTTAAATATATAAATAAATTTATCTTTGTTTGAATCATAAATTTCTTTAAATATAATAAAAATGCTTCTTTAATATTTTTACTCAAATGGGTACCTCACAGCTGTACAAAGTCTATTATTATACTCTATATTCTCTAATTTTTATCAATAAAATAAATAGTTATACCTAAAATGTTTTTATTGAAACTGATGTCCAAATATCAAATATAAACGAAATATAACTTTCTATTTCTTGTAATATCTTTTGAATTTTTTCTTGATCATTTATTGTAAATAATAATCCATTATGCAGGTTTTAATAGAAGTAGCTGATGATATTTTTGTATCTAATACTAATGTTTGTACGAAAGTAAGAAAAGTTGATTCTTTAACAACTATAAAAGATTGTTAATTAATAATAATTCATTGAACAAGTTTTTTTTTCAATTTTGTTGAGTCATATGTTCACTATATATAATAAATACAAAAAATTAATGATATTTTTTTTAAAAATTTAAAAATTATTTGAAATTATCTTTGTTTTAAAAAAATTAACAATTTCAACTAGTTATTAAATTTAATTTTGCTAATAATTTTTTCAAGATGTTTTATAAGATTGAAAATACTGTCTTAATTACAAGTATATATCATTCTACAATATTTATAAGTAGTTTTTTTGTCCTCTTTAAGACTTACACTTTTTGTAAAATGTTTTCATATTTTATTTCTAGAAATTTTTGAGGTAACTGAGGCCGATTCTAATGGATTGCTTATATTAGCATTTTAAATATTGATATTGTTATAGTTAATTAAACTGCTATTTTATTGTATACAAATTGTATGCTATTAAATAAGTTTTCATGTTCTATTTTTAAAAGAAATAAATTAGCAAAAGCAAAAAATATAATAAAAGTAATTAAGCAGTAAAACTATAATATTGCAAAGAAATGTTTAAAAAATCATCAAAAAGAGCAAGTATTGAATTTTTTTTTAATTTGTCTTTTATTTTATTTTATTTTTTTTTAATTCATAGTTAGGTCAATATGACTTGTCTTTATTGTATATATAAAAAATATTTATAAAATGTTTTGACTTTCATATATTAACTCACCTATTATCAAAAAACTATTTCTCTAGATATAACTTAGGGAATGATATTTAACTCCTTTATTGACTTGGATAAATCTTCTAGCCAATAAAATTATTGCCTATAGGTCATTACTATAGATTATTCTAAATTCCAATTGCAGTTAAAAACCAAACCATTTCCTTTCATGACAAACTTAATCCTTGATAATTTTTATATATTTCATTTCCTCCTTTCTTTCAGAGACTTCTTGTCCTAGATCTTCTGTGAATGTAAATTCTTCTTCCTATTATTGTATGATCTGTATGACAGATCTATGCCCAGGTCTTTGGTTCTTTTGTCCTTTTCAGTAATATTGTGCTTCTTTTTCCACTCTATTATTTTTTGAAGTGACTATTCCATATATTCTTTTTGAAATTTTTTCTCATTTTATAACAAAGCTTACTAATTATACTTTGTATAACTGTCAGAGGAATTTTGAATTATGATTCGAGATAATTCTTCAAGGAAATGGTTTTGTTCTTTTCTATATATCCATAAATAGTATTGAAAAGGCTTCTATTAAATTATTAAATCTTATTTAACTATTTATTTGTCTAATTATTCATTACAAAATGAACTTCTTCTTTGTCTTTGTTTTCTTTACAGATATAACAGGTGATATTTTCTTTTGCTTTTCTTCATATATCTTCTCTGATTTTTTTAATGATTAAACATTTGAACAAGTGTTCTAATGTTTCTTCTTAAAGTTCATATATTGGATAGATTGTTATAGTATAAATATCTGTTTTTTTTTTCTTCAATATCTGCAGCATTGGAAGTTTATTATAGATTAGGTTAGTCAAGAAACCTTTGTCTTTATTATCTTTGAAAAAGATAATAAAGGTATTAGATAGATTGAACTGATTCCAAAAGGTTAACTAGTCTATCATTTTATTATTTTGGATCTACAGTTCTTGAATTCTTTTCTGTATTGTTCAATCTCTTCCTATCTTTTTTCTATTAAACATTTGATCTCTATCATGTGCTTCCTTCATGTAACTATTATAAGAACTATCCCTAACTCTAGTAGTTGATGCCAGATTATCAGATTTTTATGTCTAGCTTGTTTAATAAATAGATCTACTTGATTATTGAACTTATCGATTCCATAAGCTTTAACCTTTATAATTTCTAAGATATAATCTTTTTTTTTAATTGGATTTTTGATTTTACTCTATAATGGTCAATTAGTAGTCTTTGTCCATCTCCTTGTTAATATTTTCACTTGTGAACTGATGGATTTTCATGTCTTAACTATAGTATTACAATTAGAGAATATTGAGACTATTGTATTTCGAAAAATTATATATATTGCAGTTAGAATGGTCAATATTTCTGCCCTATTTACTGATGGCCATGTTGATACTCCTATTGAAAATTGCTTTATAACTTTGTTATTTTCTACTAAAATTCAAGCCAAATCTATTTCAAGCTCATTATTTTTTATCTTTTTTTTATAAGATTCATTTGTATAAAAAATAAATTGGATGGCATACTTTTTCTATTATATTTCAGGACATCTATAAATTTTTAACTTGTTTTTTATATTATAATTAAAAAAAAAAAAACTCTATTTTAATTTTCTAGATAGTTCAATTTAAATGAAATTAAATAATTATATAACAATTTATATAAACTGATACATATTTGATTTGAATTATATTGAATTTGATCTAAATCTGATTTGAATTTGTTTAGATTTGACTGAATTTGATTTGAATCTAATAATTTTGTAAATTTAAAATTCAATTTGATCTGAATTTAATCAGATTAAAAATTTTGAAATTTGATTTGATCTAATCTATATCTGATTTATGAATCAATCAGATTTGAATCAAAATTGTGATCACTACTTTTACCATTATAATGCAAAAAAATTATTATTGTGGAATTTGTCCTTTTGATAATAAAAGATATATATCAGTAAAATTTCTTTAATTAGGTGTGATTGCTGGAAGGTATTATACTAAACCAATATAATACAGTTTTTACTAGGTCATATAAGAACATATGATTCATCCTAAATCATCCCTTTACTGTAAGTGAATAAAAAATCACTATTCAAAAAAGATTAGAATCAAGTATGTCTGGAAGTAAAGGTTTCCACTAAATAATAAGTCTTCTTAGATGATATATAAGAAGAAAATCAAGATCAAGAATGGATAAGTTTCTTAGATAGTCAAAAAAAGAAAAAATATTTTAATCTTGCATTTTATATTAAAAAGAGATCTTGAAAAATAGATCTTTAGAGAAAACTAGAAATTTTTTTTTCAAAATTTTATCTTTTCATTTTCTTGTTGTCTATTTAGAAAATTTTAAATATCTTTCTTTATCTTTTTTTTCAACCATCCTTTTATAGTTTCTTGTATTTCAGTGGCTTGGTAAGATATACAATAGTGACAACTTGCTAGTAATGATGCAGTGAACTAGGAAGGTTTTTATTCGTAAAGTGAAATATTGTTCCCAAGATTGAACTTAAAGGCTATTATACTTATGACAAATTAGATTAAAATAATAGTTTAACTATAGTATATATCATGCTGCTTGATAAAAATATATTTATATTTTCAATTAATTAATAAACTAACAATCTCATATGGCTATGGGTAAAAAAAAAAAAACATTAATTATTATTATTTTTATTATTTTATTTTTTCTAATATATTCAAAATTTATACAGTATATTCCTTTAATTTTATAAAGTTGAATGATTAATAATTAAATCTTTAAATAGTAAAATTATATATAGCATATATAGTATATTGAAGAAAGAAATAGAGGCTTTAAAAAAAAAATAAAAAGATTGCTTTAATTAAACAAAGTTTTACAAGAATTAATTTTGAAAATTATTTTAGCAGGTCATATTGAGATACACTGTATGTATGATGTATATCGTACATACTGTATTATATAAGGAGAATATATAATGCATGTGTATAACATATTGTTATTTTAACGAATTGACAAATAGCAGAATTGCGTATCAAAAAAATCATGTAATCTTTTATCGTATTAAAGAGAACACAACGAGTGTTATTTACAGTATTATTTGTTTTTACATATTTATTTATTTATTAATTTTATTTAACGTTATTTTGATTCCGTATATGGAGATCAGACACGTGACATTACACGCATATTAAATAACGTTATGCATGCCCATACACCAGAGTGACGGATATCAGGCAGGTGTCCCCAATCATCGTCTGCTTGTTGAAAAAGGGAAAAGGAACGTTTCGAAGAATAAGACACAGCATGTGCAGATTTCTGCTAGCCTGTTACAAATATAATTATTAAACCTAAATCCAAATTACGTAATCACCTCTTGTAACACCACGTACGTGCGTACCTACCAAACACGCATGCTCAATACTTTTTTTTCTGAACAGTGTCTACCTAAAAATAGAATCATTAAGTGGTTACAAATTAAGTGATGAACAAGATTATGATCAAACGGGAATGAGATAAATGTCTTGGAGGTTTGATCGAAGGAGTGTCGATCAAACTCCTTCGCGAGGTGCGCCAATACTTCATCCTAGGTGAGTGAATGCATTGAGATATTTTAATAACTTCGCGCATCGGCTCCAATATGGCATGACGCCCAATGACCAAAAAAACCATCTCGTATATGTACTCTGTATCGTTCGCGTGGGGTACACAACTATGTTGATCTTATTGTAAGAAAAGAAAATTCAATATTAGTGTGAGAAATTTGCAATCAGTGTTAGAATAACGGGCACCCCTTGGTTAGCTTATCGGGAGCGATTATTGCGGAATAAGTATTAGCCCGATTCATGTATGAATCACCTATTGTAAGAAAATTTCATTATACGAATGACGAATATTCCGGCGAGAATTATTTTCCCTTTTCAGAAGCGAGGGAAGCGATCACCCCCGCGAACCGACACGAATTGGATGGTGTCAACAATCACCTTATTCCACGTTTCCCAATAAAACGTCCGACACAACAATACACGTATACATGCAAAGTACGTGCGTCACAATGCACAAGAGATTAGGTAGGACCTGACCAAATGTTATTCCGAGGGCGAGACAAGGAGAAGGGATTAGGAAGTGTCATTTTTCATCTTCGGGGGTGAGCCAAAATGTCAATAATAACCGAGTCGTGCATTGTATGAATCATATGAACAGGGTGGAGAGTGCATCGCGAAGATAAATGGTCGCTCGTGCATTGACACAATTACATCATCATTTCCCTGTGAAGGGATTTAAATTGGTCATCATGCGTGCGCCCATTTATATGTAATACCCGCAAAATTGGTTCGATATTGCGTTGAAACCGTGAGATGAAATCTCCATGTTCACGTGAAAATGGATTCTTTGTCATCGCCGACTTTTTCAAAACGGATGGTCAGATCGTTATGTGTATGCACGATATCGGTGTTGTACTGTGGTCTACTGATAATTAAGCGAGCAACAAAGGATTTCGGGTTTACCGCGCGCGTCACAACCATTTTACATGTTTCACTAAAAATTCACATTCTTGTGTTTCCCCAAATTCTAATCATTCTTTTTCTAAACCTCAAAACTTTTTTAATAACAATATCTAATAATAAAATTCACATTTCGGAATTTGAAAAAAGTTTTTTTTAATTTTTTTTTAAATTGCCGCATGATGATAACGTTAGAATTATTAGGTGAAACGTGAGACTTATATACAGCGTATTCAGCACGCATCGTATTGTGCACCACGATTATTTTGTCAAAGGAAAATTTACCAAGACTTGAGAGCTAGTTGGTTGATCCTTGCATGTTTTCCTTCGATTCTACGGTAACCTCACACTTAGATCAAGTGACACATAGTAGAGTTCGAAAATCATCGATTAACTAAGTATAAACCTTATCAATGTTCACACTTTTAGTAATGTCTCAATCACCTGGATTTCTTTTTAAAGTGAAGATCAAATTCATGAGCCTTTCGCCACATTCCGGATCTTTAATATTTCACGTCCACATACGCGCCTACATGCACAATCATATACAATCACTTTCGCCAATAAATACGGTATCCCTGTTGAATAGAAAAGGGGATGTATAAAAAGATTACGTCTGTGCGCCTACATTTATGCCATTAGAATTTAAATTTTCCATATAACATTTAATGTAATGAGTTGAGTTCGGCTGATCCGAATTCTGACGGCGCAGTGCTTGAATTCGCACTAATTTTTAATGCTTCCCGCATTTATTTTTCATTTAGTATGGGAACCCCAAGTAATAGAACGAACCAATCATTTCGATCTCACTTTCTGTCCAAAATAATAATACAATAGCACGCCTATTTGGAGATTGCCACATTTCTTTCTTTCTTTTTTTTTTTTTTTTTATGGTCTCCTAGTGAAAATATGAAAAAGAGAACAAACGATCGGCGAATCACAATAATGATCGACCATTATGACCATCGAATTAAAAAAGATGCAGTCGCCCATACACAAACAATTTGTCAAAGCGAGGTAATTTAAAAAAAAATTTTTTTTTCAGCTTACGAGTGGTTCAAGGTTGACGACGGAAGCTGAAACATTCCTCGTAAAGATGGTTTATTGTGCCAAGATGGTAGCAAAAAAAAAAAAACAAAAGGTCTTGTGCCCACCATAGAAAAAAAAAAAAAAACAAAAATTGTTAGTAATAGTGGCAATGGTTGGGTTGCTCAAGATTATGTAATTGCTTACGAAAAATGCTTTGATAAATTGTTTGCTGTTTATGAAGGAAAAAGGAAAAAAAAAGAACGAAAAAATTAAGCTCAAGTTAAATTTAGAATATCAAAAAAGAGGCACCAATCAAAAGTTAATCTGTTCATTCTTTTTGTCGAGAGTGGAATGAATGCTCTCATTCTATTGTCCCAGTGGTCATCATTGGTGAGGTCACAATTTCCATTTGGAAATTTAAGAATTACTTGTTTGATCGAAATCCCTCATAATGAACGACCAACCAGCCCATTGTTTGTGAGACCACTTCCACCATCATTTTTACCTCATGCGAGGGCGTTTGGAAGGCCGGTCCGATCTTGACCGATTCGATCGGTCGTGCACGCGCTCCTCTCGAAATCATGGGTAGAAGCCATGCCGCCGAAAGAGCAACAATCTCGATTCAGTCGCTCGCAAGTCCCATCTAAACAAACAGATACACGATCGATGTAGCAAGCTCGATAAAAGCAAATGATGCTCACGTTGAATGTTTTAAGCATTTCGGCAGGTTTGTTTATACAAACATTTGCTGCATCAGACTAGTTTGTTTTTAGCATTTTATTTTTCCGTGGTCACTCGTTTGAAATTCACGCGAGAAATATATGCTAAACTCACCTCCAAGCCACATTACCCTGAAGTCGGTTCCAAACGTTTCATGCACACGTCTGTCGATTTCAAACATGTTTCAATCATCAACGTGGAGGATCGCCCGGAGCCGTCCGGGGAATCTTTATGTCGTCGGTAAATTTGCCATCTACCACACAGTGTGTAATTCCTGGGGGATGCTAGAGTTTGTAATAGATAAATAAATAAATAAATAAATAAATTCACGTGCGTGCGACTTGACTCATACGGGAATAATTCTTCTTTCTCCTTTTATCTGGGAATAATATATCAGAGCGCCCAGTCGACGATGAGATGGACGTCGACCGTTCGGATTTACGCATATCAACACACGAAAACAATTAATTACCTGCGCCCATGATTCTTTTTTTTGCGTCATATCATGAAGACAGCTCGGGTGATATCACGAATGTAGAAGCGTACCATCTGATATCAAGAATTTTTAATGAATGCGTCTTGAAAACAGTATTGTGTCATGCGGATTTCAATCATTAATTGATCGTCCAGAATAATTTAATGGTGTGCTCTTATCTGTGTATAATTTTTTTCAACATTTGAATTACGTGATGCAGATTGTGACCGATTCTCTATCGTGGTTGGCCACCGTCTTATACCGCATACAGTATGGAATGTGAATTAGAAAAATAAGGGATGAGAATGAGCACACTGGATTGTGCATGACCAGAAGAAATCCAATAATAACCTAGCATAGGGCATGGAACCCTTACATATTTTTCTCTCTCTTTTTTTTTTTTTTTTCGCCAGCCATCAATCATTCTATGAGCTCAGAGATCTCTCTTCCCTCCTCGTAACATTGTAAAGGGAATTAATTTGAAGAATAAAATACAGCAATTAGTAATCCATTCGAACATCACGACACCTTCACATCGATTATCAAACTGTACTTCAGACCCCACCTTGTTTAAATGGCAATGTTTTTTCCGTCTTTGGCTTAGCCTCAATAACGGATCTCAAATAGTGAGATCAGATTTTTATTACTTTCATATTACCTACCTGCATACCTCTTTTAAAATGATTCATCGAATTTTTACAGTACATGTATATGCGTGTAGACATATGGGGTAGTCATGAAAAGCAGCCAATTATAATCGCATACTTCTAATTTTTTCTTTCACAATATAAATTATTAGCTGTTATACCGAGGGGAACTTTATTTTGTTAAAAAATTTCAGCGCTAGTATAAAAATGTATGCACATTTTACTGTATAGCGTAATAATTATTAAATTAACACTAAAAAAAAAAAAAAAAAATTTTTTTTTTTTTTTTGTCTTCACATTCTACATACTGTATACTTGCTCTTTTGTAAAGTAATTCAAAATATAAAACCTGGTCATTCTCACACTTCCCTATCAGACTTTTTTTTTTTTAACCAATATTCGACACAAAAAAAAAAACCGTGTCCGATTTGCATCCATATGAAATAGTAGTGTCAATTGACTGATCAAAGGATCCGCTTTTTGGAAGCAATCTTCGGAAATTGATATCTTACATACAAAATATATATATCTCTAGCATTCAATCTTTTGCCTTTCTGCACCCTGAGCTTCTTTGAGAACCTGTTCTGGACATTCGGTTTAGGGAGAAAAAAAAAAAAAAACGTGATATCCATTAATCTTCACAAGGAATTCCTCATCGCGCGCGCACACCCCCTTCCTGAAGTGAGGTAAAAGATACTCTTCGTATTTCACACCTCACACTCAAGAAATTGGTACCTCGTTTGATACGGTTGCCAAGGGACGATTCTCTCCTCTTTCATCCCACCCAACCCAACCAACCCCACCCCCTCTCACTCTCTCTCACTCACTCTCTCTCTCTACTCTTGAAAAGAAACCAACGACGACACACACACACACACAACATATTAACTAAACCTTGCCCTTTTTAGTTTGTAAACAAAATAAAGATCAAGATGATGGAATACGTTTTTGTTGATGACTTACACCGATACAAACGTCTAAAGGTTACACGTGCATGCGAGTCATGTCGTCGTCGAAAGGTCAAGTGTGATGGAGGGTCCGGAGGCTCCCAAACTCCGTGCTCGAGTTGTAGAAAATTGAAAATTGACTGCATCTTTTCCAATATGGCCGCGAAGAGAACCACGCCAAAGACGGAGCAGGAGCAGATGAACGAGAAGTTGCAACGATCCGAGAATCTATTGAATAAACTAGATGAGAATGATAGTAAATCAAGGAAAAATATTGGTAAGTTTTTACCGCCGCCATTTTCACCTGTGAAGAACGACTCTGCGGACTTGTGAACTAGTTCTAAACAAAAAAGGTTTATCATTTCCTCGACCCCATTCGCTACCCATAGCACACGGCGTCGATTACTTTGACTCACTCGTGGACGTCTTGGGTCAGATGAGGATAGAATACTCCGGTCAGGCATGCTATATTCGCACGATGGAGGGGGGAATGTTGAAGGATGGTCCGGAAAGTTTCTTCACGGAACCACCATTGCCGTATCATTGTCCCGTGGAAAACCTCGCTCCCGAGACGATCTCTCATCTGGTCAATCTCTATTTCATTCATGTCCACCCGTACGTCCCAATCATACATAAGGCAGATTTCCTGAGTCGCCTCAATGATGACAAGAATAATCCAATCTCTCCTTTGCTACTCTACTCCGTGTTTGCCATTGCTTCGAGATATTCCGACGACCCAAGTGTCCGTCTTGATCCCGCGAAACCAGAGACCGCCGGAATCATCTTTTATAATAGAGCCAGAGGTGAATGTCATCTCCCTTTTTGTCTCTTTCGCATCATATCTACGACGACTCACCTCACATTCATTTACTCGCTTGTTGTTGTGTCACAATAGAACTGTTGGACGATTTCCTGGACGCGCCGAGGTTATCCACAGTCCAATCACAAATACTGATGTTAAAATTTCAAGAGCGCATTCGGCGATCAGGATTTTTCTTTAGAAGTTGGATATATTTCGGTCTCATAGTTCGGATGGCGCAGGATCTGGGATTGGACAAGAATTATGACAAATGGAATCTACGCATGTCTCGGGGTGACCTGATCTCCCGGAAGCGTGTGTGGCAAGTCTGTTTCATTTACGATCAGTTCATGAGCAGTGTGCAAGGTAACCGCGTGATTCCGCTTTTCGATGAACGAACGAACGTTCGTTTCCCTCCTTTACTTAACGCGCTTTGAAAATTTCTAGGTCGAGACGTTGCCATAAGCTTACAAACAACGGGTATTGAACTTCCCACGAAGGAAGATTACGAAGACGAACAAGAACTACAAATCCAAACGGATTTTGTTCACCTCGTGCGTCTGACGAAGATTCTCTCCAGCGTTATGTCAGGCATTCTACCAGCGGGTTCTGGAACAGTAGCTCAAGCCTGGTCATCAAATCCAAAGTTACAAATTCTGGACACAGCGTTGGACGCCTGGTTACAAGCATTACCGCCAAGACTTCGGTGTCAACAACCTGCCGACAACAACAACAACAATAATAATAATAATAATGCCATATCTCAAGCTCCACTCACGCATTTCTCCGGATTCCTTAATATGCTGTATCACACGATATCCATCCTACTTCATCGACCTTACATATCGAGCATGGACCTCGGCCGAGTTTCTCAATCTCACGTAAACCACCTGAACATATGCACAGTGGCGGCCAACAGCATATCGCAAATTTCACGAGCAATGCTGGATCAATGGGGACCATTGGTATTTCAATATCCGATTCGCGGGGGAAATTATGGAACGTATTGTCTGGTGGCGGCATCGATGATTCACATAGTCAACATGTCTTCTCCCGATTTACGATTCTCTCAACCGGCGCATGATTATTTCTTGTCGGCGTTGAGCGTTCTAAAGGTGTGCGTCGAACACAGTGCCGCATGGGAGTTACGCGATAAAATCCGCGGACTCGAAGCCGCATTCCAGACGCACAAAGCTTGCCAATCTTACGGGCTACTCTTCCACCCCGGCTCACATCCGGAATCACCTGGTGTCAATGGTCACATGAACCGACGAAGATCCCAGATGCAAGGGCCAAGGAGACACGCGACCATGCCCAATGCACAGGACTCGACAGTACCGTCCGATGTAAATAATCACCTGCTGTCGGGCAATCTACCGCAATCCTCATCGCCACCACATTTCCGCGAGAGGTCACTGTACATGCTGGCCGACAGTTCTGATCACCACACGTTCGCCCCGGATTCCAAACAATTTGAGTTCATCTCACCACAAGACTCGATGGACGAGAATTCACTGCTCGCCACGCCAATAAGTCACATTCCGATGCCCGAGCTCGCAGGGACAATCATGCCGGCGTCCAACCAATTTAATCCGTTGATTTCATTGGATCATGCCAAAAGACAGGTCGACATGAACGGGTTGGGCACTAATGGGACGATTTGGGATGCGAATTCACTGTTATTATGGACGAATCCAAACGGACAACATATTTGGACAAACAACGGAGGAATCAGTCCGTTGAGTACAAGCACCCCGCTGTCGGCCACCTCACCGTCAGGACATCAAACCCCGGAACACGGGTCACCATATCCCCTCGGATCTCCGGTCGGATCGGCAATAGACCCGGTAGTTGTAGCATCGCAGAACAGTGAAGATATAATGTTAACTCCTGAAAGTGTAGCTTGGTACAGTGCCACGGCTTAAGGGGAGGGATTCAGAACATAAACGTCATAATATAATATAATGCCATCAATATACCGTAATATAATACAGTATAATGTTTAATTATTTACTAATTTATTTTTAATGGTCTACATTATTTATTATCAAAGATGGGAAAAAAGTTCAAATTATTGACCAGCCTTACTACACCCTTACCGAAAAAAATTTTTTTTTTTTTTTTTTTCTTAATTTATTTTGTGGACAATGAATTCAATTTACAATTTTTATTTAACACTTTTGTAGCATAGTTACATTAAAAAAAGATTTTTTTTTTTTAAAAAAAAAAATAAAAAATAAATAAAAAATAAAAAGATTATTATTAACAGAAGAATTCTTGGTTAACGTAATTACATACGATTCCTTATTTGATAAATTCATTGTAGGTTACAACCAAAACTCGTTTATGCAATAAACATTAATAAGTACATAACCCTAAATACTTGCCAAAATCTTGAAGCTTAACAAAATGCTTAGCTTATGCGTTAGTAATAACTGATATGACCTCATCATATATTACGTACGCAGGTAGGTAACACCATAATTATGCATTACCCCACACGAAGTGATACCCAATAATATGTGATTAATTAGTCATCTTGAATAAACGTATACGAGGTGCAGACCCATTCCCCCCCCCCAAAACAATGACACTGACGGGTCAATGTATGCTTAAATGGGGTGAATGCCTTTTTTCTTTTTATTAAAGGGTATTGCCAGTAAAGAAATGATGCATTCGTGACAATGAAAATCGATATAGTTTTATTTTTTTTCCTGCATCTGCTCAAACGCAGAATCATTCAATGGCTGATTAGAAAGAATGTGTCAGTGTCAGAGGATAGACTGCTGCTTTCTGAAAGGATTTGTTGCATATGCAATGAACCAGTAAAATGCTATTGGACCACGTAAATCGTTACCAAAAATTTAGTAAGCCTTTTCAACGTCGAATAGGCATCCGTCGCATTCTCACAAAAAGTAAGATCTCAAAGGAAGGCAGATAATTATTTTAGGAAAGTGATTAAGATTTTTTCCTTTTTAGACTTCAATTATATTAAGTAAGCTTCAACACTTAAAATGTATTGCTTAATCGCTTGCGATTGTTAAAGATTTCACAAGATTTCTGATAGCTTTAATTAGTTTGCCATACAATACTCGATATCAACAATCTCCTTGGGTGACGTGGAACTCAACACAATAGGATCCGTTTTACCGACTAATACATTATCCTCAATGCGAATTCCCATACCATGATATTTCTTTGGATATGCGTCGTCCGGTGGGATGTAAATTCCTGGCTCTAGGAATTGAAACATATTTATTATTTGATACATCGAAACGTTGAAAACACGCAAAAACAAATTACCTATCGTTATCACCATTCCGCTTAATAATCTCCGCGAACGATCGAGGTCGTGAGTGTCGTGTACGTCGAGACCAAGATAATGTCCCACGTGGTGAGGGTATAGGACGCGGTCCACATCCTAGGCACAGTAAACGCATAAATTATACTGGCACATATTCCCTCCCACGTAAAATAAGAACCTTACTTACCCCTTCAACAAGATTGAAGCCGAGATTTATTAATTCCTCTTTCATTATTTGCACCGAAGCCTCGTGTATTCCATTTAAAGAGATATTTTCCTCCTCGGTGCATAACTAAAGAAGGTGCAGGAGTCAGAGATCCGCGACGAAATCGAGCTCGGGAATTTGAGTGCGCGTGTACCTTTATGCAATTCCTGTTAACCTTCAAGACTACTTCATATATTTCACGTTGTGCTTGCGTAAATTTTCCGTTCACTGGCCACGTCCGCGTGATGTCGCTAGCGTACCCGTGATATTCCTAATTAGATTAGGATAAAAAAGTTAGATTAAGTCTACATACTGTACATAATATCATAGATTGATGTAATTACATACACCGCCCGCGTCCATTAGCACCAGGTCGCCATCCCTCGATAAATTATGATAAATCCCGGTTAACATGTGGATAGGAGGTGCAAATATATGCAGCATATATTTATGTTCATATTTAAAAAAATTAAAATTCTTAAGTACCGAAGTATCATGTCATTTCTCACATAATGCATTGTTAATGCATTGATTCCGCCCGCGACTACAGGGACGTACGCCAAAAACTGCGCTCCGCGTATGCGACATTCAAAATCTATTTTAGCGTATAAATCATGTTCTAGAAGTCCGGACTTTGTAAACTTCATTGTCTGTATTAAAAATAAAAATAATAATAATAATAATAATTCTTTATTGACGTTTAGCGCATACGTTGTTTTACACAAAGATATAATTGAGAATAAGGATCTCACTTGAATGAACGCTTTTCCAGTGATTTCTCCAGCTTTCTTCATTAAGTTTATTTCGGCATCGCTCTTGATTATTCGTAAGTCCTGGATTATCTTACTTAGCGGCCTTACTTTATCACCGATGATATTTGAAATATTGAAAGGGTGAGGTTGATTTAAATTATCCGCGGGATCTCTATTAAAATTGAACCATGAAGATAATTTCATCAGTAAAGGAGTACCATGAGCCCGATTGATATTTTTTTGGACGTTGTCTGTTGATAGAATGTTGGTACGAGGAGGTAAGTCGATGTAAATAGTTTCGTAATTTTTTATTATTTCCTTAATCTTCGAGTTAAACCTCGATGACTCCATTGCCTAAAAAAAATAAATAAGTATAGGTGACTTTATCAGAAAAACGAGTGACGCGTGATCGTGTCTTCGATCACTTACCTCGTCCGCACCGAAGATATCCACGGCACCAAGGACACCCGTTCGAGGACCTTCCCACATTTCTACGCTACGATTTTTTGGCGGCACAAACATCGTCATCTTATAACCTCTACGAGTATTATTCTTTTCTTACGTTTTTTTAGGTAAAGAAAAAAATATTGTGATCTCTGTCCACCAATTTCAACGTACAAACGTACGAATAAATATCAGTTTATCGCCTAATGTACCTAGAACAATCGCTGCATCGGGTTCGTTGAAGCCTAAAACATAATATCGTCTATTACTCAATGTACAGATAGGTCAAGATGGCGCGTAAATCAAAGATCCTATTATGCGTACCGCACAGGTAAAAGAAATCGGTGTTTTGGTGGAATGGATAACTATAAAAGTGGAGGCGTTATGATAAATAAATAATTATGCAATCGAGGAAATATATTAATATATAAATGAACGTGCAAGATTATCGCGTCTCGGTTGCTACTCCTTAATGCGTATAAAATTCCAGAGTCATACGAACAATACTTTATTTGACATGTATCGCGTGCGATACCCTAATGAAATCGCGACACTGCTTTCAGGTAACCTCTCCATTAGTAACGCGCGTCGAAGCTCATATTCCATAGCCATTATGCCTGGAGTTACTTGATTTTCGTGATAAAAAGACGTGAGATGACAAATGTCGTCTAATTGAAACAAATTTTAAAAACTCGAGGCCAACCTTCACCGGGTTTCATCAAATGTGGATGGGTTTCAGGAGTCGGCTGACCGAACGTACGTCGTTCCGCCGGAATAAGCGTAGCAGGGGTACTGAAAAAACGACTACGTGTTTTGAAGCCTGTTAAAGTGCATAGAACTTAAGTCGAACGATAAAGACGATATCATAATTAATGAATGGGAAATGAGCTGACATGTCCTTAAACAAAATCCCAAGGAACTTGAGAATTTGACAATTTGGTGATTCATTTTTTTTTTTTTTTTTTTTTTTTTTTTTTTTTTTTTTTTTTTTTTTTTTTTGTTTTTTTTATTTTTTTTTTTTTTTTTTTTTTTTTTTTTTTTTTAAAAAAAAAAAAAAAAAAAAAAAAAAAAAAAAAAAAAAATAATAATAATAATCTTTATTGCTCAATCTACTCCAACTCCGATATCAAAATTTTTGGCAGTTTTTCCTATTATTGGTTCTTAAATTCATTATTCATTTATCTTAGATTCCTACGTTTGTGCAAAAAGTAATAATACCTTTTCATTATATATGCAAAAAATATTGAACATCTTTTTTTCAGTCGGTCCCATCTTCTAGGAAAAACATTGTGATTATACGCGACATATACTATTTTTTTTTTTTTTTTTTTTTTTAATTGTATATTGTATTTTATTCCGTGGGATTTTCCGGTGAGATGTTACATTGGGGTTTTAAGAGGATTAATTATACAAATCAAACATTGATTCGGAAAGGTGAAATAGAATTAATTACGTTTATCATATGAACTTCGCGTGCGATTGATCTATACCGAATTTTTTTTTTTCTACAAATCACTATTCGGGCGAGACTTGAAAAAATGAATCTTGTATATGAATTCTAAATTCATATCAATTTAAAATTCCAACAATAAAAGATTTTCGGTAAAAAATAAAATTAAATTAAATTACCGTATGCACAGTAGATACGTACAGTATATACAGTACATACTGTATATATATTTTAAATATCAGTAATACTGATTGCTGATTGGCTGACCATCGACTCAACAGAAGAGCGAGGCGGACGGAAAGACATTGATTGCATCATTAACATGCATAGAAATACATGGTCCTTCGCTATGCTCCGGGCTAATGATATATACCGTAGATGCACATGTACATATATGTATGGTGAATACAAATAATAAACCTTAAATTCATATTTTTTATTAAAATTTTTCGTATTGATTGATAGATAGATGCTTATTCGTTTCCGAGGATGGGTGCTTAGTTATGATTTAACATAAAGGATGGGAGCTTGTATGAATTTGGTTTCCATATTTACTTGGATAATAAAACCGAATATGAAAAAAAAAACGACTAATTGATAATTCGAAATTGCCCTTTCAGACGATCGATCACTGTTCATTTTTGCAGTCGCAGACGTCGTAGGATTATTCCTCCTCGCAACATTTTTTTTCATGAACTTTTCGGAAATCCTTTAAATCCTATCGACTTATTTTGTCCGGGCACGAAGGAAATTATCGCGGACCTCTCTCATCAAGCGAAATGCTTCAATATAAATTGGTGCAACAAAGGATATCATCCGTCAGAGATAGAGCTCATTGCATTTTACCAAACCAATGACAATTCATTCTTTGCCCGACCGATGGAACTATTTTGGGTGCACCGATTGATTCCTTGTGGATCACCTACTTTGCAAGCCGCAGATAGAAATTACGTGTATACATATCGATGGTCAAGTGGTGCACCAAAACATTGCGTCAGCGTTTCTAATGGTAACATACGAAAATATTTTTTTTTAAAAAAAAAAAAAGTGAATAATAATAATTTTTACACATGCAAGTAAATTTACTACCCCAGGATTACGGCGCATTCATGATATACCATTGCACGTGTTCCAATACCTATTTGAAAACAGATGCTCGGTGTTCCTGTCATCAACTACCAATAAATATCGACCGACTTCTGAAAAATTGGTCGGAATGAGAACTCAATTACCATTGAAATGAAAGGTCACGTATATATGGATGCATATAATACCTATCTATCACGACACCATGTTGAAAGCGCCTGATACTTGGCACGTGATAAACCGAAATATCGCATCTGTTGGGAAATAAGTCAACGATATCTTGCAGGTGAGAACGTCCTCTGTTCTTAATAAACAATCGGCTCGTTGAGAGAAGTCGTTGTCCAGACTGCAGGTGACGCTGTTGAAAACGTTCAGAGAGTAATTATTGGCCACGAAGTGTAGCCGGCGTTGGATAATCGTTATCGAGATTCCTTTCAAAGGAATCAATTGGTCAAGGTCAAGAGAGACGCAACCTTGTAATCTTTTTCAACGATTGAAAAGATATCGTTTTATGTTGTAGCCTCTGAAATAATCGAATCAAGGTAAACGAAGAATCATTTGACATTGCCGATGTTATCATTAGATATTACAATCGTTAGAAAGATAACGTCACAGTTAGCAGAATAAATTGACAGAAAACTCGAAAAACCTTTGTCTATTTGCATAATGTATAAGCACCTCAATTTTAAAATAAATAGAACAATGGTGTGAAGAATAACGTGGTATGTTCCGTTGTATTCGTAACGGTAGTGATGGTAGTGATGGTCGAGTGTTTGGTTGCGGGAAATTGGTGTTAAATTGTTTTGTTCCATGGCGGGATACACATTGATAGAAGCTACGCGCGTTGGTTGTCCATTGTTGGATCAACGAATCATCAAGAGAAAGAATTGAGTTGGTCTTTTGAAATCGTGTTTATATCATTTACAGGATCGTAAATGAAAAACCCCTTCCGAAGAACGAGAGACAGTAAAATTATTTCTTATTAGATAATTTGACTTTATAATCAACTTTATTTTTTTTTTTTTTTTGCAGTACTAAACAGGAAGACGACAATGTTCGGTTTTCGTGCCGCGTAACGCAATTTTCGTGTACCGGGAAATTTGGTGTTCTAGCAAACCTCTAAGCGAAAAGATCTCTTTACATTAATGAGTTTGTGTCAAGTATTAATGCTCTCGTGGCACATTATCCATGTTCATATGCGCTTTGCCGGAAATTTTTTATCATTTTTCTTTTTTTAGTCCCACTCAAATAAAGGATATATCGGTTATTGCGGCTTGGCTCAATGGACAGGTGTGCGGGTACATATAAGCAGATCGAAAATGCGAAGATTGATGTTTCCTTCTTGTTATTTGTCCACTCCAATTATAATCACAACGTAACGTGGTTTTTTATTTTCCATTACCAAGCCAAAATGAACAGACAATGAAGCATGTCTAACGACTGTATGAAATAAGAAATTTGAATGATACCTTATTTTTTTTTTTTTTTTAATGCAGTCAAGGAGACTAATTAGATTTATAGTGTATATACAGTAGTATACCGACTGATAATAAAGTTAAAAATGTATATACAGCATGTATATACTTACAGTATATATTTTTTTTTTACTCGAACCGAGTGTTCAGGTTAACATTTTTATTTTTGGCATATTTTTCAATGCATTGGGCAATACATCGTGTCTTTAAGAAAATTCGTATTCAACACCTTAAGAGTTTATATAATTAATGAAACTTGTTTTTGTTTTTTTTTGTAATAATCTTTGTTTACATGCATTAAACTATCTACAGTATATTTCAAATTATGATAAAAAGAAAAAAATTAAAATAAAATTCAATTTCCTTTAAAAACCTTGTATATTTTAAAACCTTTTTCCAATAGGAGTTGTCTTTATTAAAATATTTTTTTATCTTTTAAATATTTTTCTTAAATACTATTTAAAAAAATTTATTATCCAATTGAAATTTTTATTGTAATTAATTATATATTATTTTATATATATGTAATAACTTACTACTATAAACTTTAAAAAGTTGAAAATTAAAAGTCAATTATTTTTTCTTGAAAAAAGAATCAGTTCAAAAATAAGAACATTATTTTGTATTATTAAACTTTGATATGTAATCAATAATCGATATAAAACTATTACAGAAATATTATAAGTATTTCTTTTATATTAACTTTTTTTTTTCAAATTTTCTTTAAGAAAAAAAACTAGTTAAATTAATTTATCATTAAAAAAAATAATTAAATAATTAATATTATCTTCACCTGAACTTTTAATGGAGCGAAAAATCACTTCCAAAGTTGCACTTAGAGTAATTACTGAGATGAGTGAGCT